TAAGTTACCTCACGCCTTGTTGATGTGGACACGTCATGTCGGTCAGTCTGCTCCAAGATCGAAGGAAGAGCTCTTTAGGTGATTTGACATAGGCACGTTATGAGGGTTAAAACCTTTTTGATGAAGCACCTAGGAGTTGCACATTACCACGCGCCCTATTGACGCTGGCGCGTTATGTCAGGGGAACTCCTACTAATCATCAAAAACAAAAAATAAAATAAAAAATTTGAAAAAACTTTAAGAAAACATATTGAAGTTATCAACTAAAGTTGAACGACAACTAAAAGAAATTGAGCTGCCTCCCAAAAAGCGCCTTTCTTTAACATCTTTGGTTAGACATGGCTAGGTGTTAGCAATTTGGTGCATCCAAATGTATCACCTTCACTTCTCCACTTGGAAAGCTCTCGTAATAGTGTTTGAGACGGTGTCCATTCATCACAAACTTTTTGGCCGTCTTAGTGCTCTGGATTTCTACTACGCCATAGTGAAAGACGTGAGTAACAATAAAAAGGTCAATCCATCTGGAACGCAGTTTACCTGGAAACAGCTTAAACTTGGATTGGTATAGGAGAACCTTTTGACTAACTTCAAAAGTTTTCCTAGAGATTTGTTGGTTATGAAACACCCTACTCCTCTCCTTGTAAATTAATGCATTCTTATATGTTTTGCTCCGGATCTCCTCCAATTCTTGCAAGTCCAACTTTCGATAAGCACCAGCCTCCTCTAAATTCATATTACACTGTTTTATCGTCCAAAAGGCCTTGTGCTCAAATTCCACTGGGAGGTGACACAGCTTCCCGAATATCAATCTGTAGGGTGACATCCTTATAGGAGTCTTATACGCCGTCCAATAGGTCTAAAGTGCATCTTTCAACCATTGACTCCAATCCTTCCTATTGGGTCACACCATTTTTTCCAAAATAGATTTGATTTCTCGATTCGATACTTCAGTTTGGCCATTGGTTTGAAGGTGGTATGATGTTGAGACCTTGTGGAGCACACCATACCTTCGAAATAGCGTAGCTATGGTCTTATTGCAGAAGTGCATCCCTCCGTCACTAACAATGGTTCTTGGCATCCCAAAACGCACAAAAATATTAGATTTAATAAAATCTGAAATCACTTTTGAATCATTAGTCCGGATGGCTTTAACTTCCACTTATTTGGAAACATAATCAACTGCCAAGATGATATAAAGAAAGCCAAACGACATGGGAAAAGGGCCCATAAAATCAATCCCTCATACGTCAAAAATTTCAACAAAGAACATTGAAATTTGAGACGTCAGATCTCTATGAAAAATGTTACCTACTTTTTGACATCTTTCACACGACTTACAGAACATGTAGGCATCTTTGAATAGTGAAAGCCAGTAGAATCCGCTCTCTAACACTTTACGAGCTGTTCTCTTAGGTCCAAAATGACCTCTATAGGCAAAAGAATGAAAAAAAGTTAAGATTGAGTGATATTCATTCTCAGTTACGCACCTTCGTATTACTTGATCAGCACAATGCTTGTACAGATACGGGTCGTCCCATATGTAGTATTTGGCGTGTCGCTCTTTAAATTGTCCCTTTTTGCTTTGGGCCAACCTGCATGTAATTTGTCAGTTATTAGATAATTAACTAAATCAGCATACCGAGGCAATTTAGAATTTAGAGAAAATAATTGTTCATTAGGGAATGTATCTTTCAATGGCACGTTCTCCTCTCCAACTGATATGCGACTTAAATGGTCAACTACCAAATTCTCTGAACCACTTTTATCCCTTATCTCCAAGTCAAATTCTTGCAAGAGCAATATCCACTTTATCAGCCTTGGTTTCGCATCTTTCTTGGTCATTAGGTACCTCAACGCTGTATGATCAAAAAATACAATAACTTTACCACCTAATAAATATGACCTGAATTTTTCTAAAGCAAAAATAACTGCTAAAACCTCATTCTCAGTAGTGGAGTAATTCAATTGACCTCCACTCAAGGTTCCGGACGTGTAGTAGATGGCATGAGTTGCTTTTCCTACTCTCTGCCCTAACACTACTCCCACTGCATGATCACTAGCATCATACATGATCTCAAATAAGAGATTCCAGTCAAGAGATTGGATGATCGGTGACGATGTCAACAACTCCTTTAATTTGTCGAATGCTCTTTCACACTCAACATTGAACTCAAAGGCCATATCTTTTTGTAAGAGTTTGAACAGAGGAGCTCTAGTCTTCGAGAAATTCTTATGAACCTTTGGAAAAAACCTACATGTCTAAGAAAAAAATGCACTTCTCGCACACTCGCGGGGTAAGGTAAGGCAGATATAATGTCTATTTTAACTTAATCAATTTCAATACCCTTAGAGGACACTATGTGACCTTGAACTATCCCATGCTCAACAATAAAATGACATTTTTTTCAATTAAACACGAGATTAGTTTCTATAATCTCAAGAAGATCAATTTCAGGTTATCTAGATAATTATCAAAACTATCACCATATTTACTAAAGTCGTCCATGAAAATCTCAATAATTTTCTTAATATATTTTGAAAAAATACTCACCATATTGCAGGGACATTGCATAATCCGAAAGGCATTTGCCTATATGTGAAAGTTTCAAACGGGCACGTAAAGGTGGTTTTCTCTTGATCTTCCAGTGTCATTGCAATTTGAAATATCCTGAAATCCCATTTAAAAAACAATAGTAAGCTCAACAAACTAATCGTTCAATCATTTGGTCAATAAAAGGAAGTGAAAAATGGTCTTTTTCCGCAACAGCGTTAAATTTCCGGTAGTCGATACACTGCCGTCATCCAGTGAGTTTGTGTACTGGCATGAGTTCACTCTTTTGGTTGGCCTCCACTGTCACTCCTGCCTTCTTTGGAACTACATGTACCGAGTTCATCCATGGGCCATCTGATATTGCATATATGATCCCCACATCTAGCAGCTATAGTATTTCGTTCTTCATCACTTCCATCATAAGGGGATTGAGCATCCTTTGAGCTTGCCGTATAGGTTTGGCATCTTCTTTGAACCTTATTCGGTGCATACATACAGAGAGGCTGATGCCCTTAATGTCAGTGATAGTCCATCCCATTGCTTGCTTGTGATCTCTAAGAATTTGGATTAGTTTTTCTTCTTGGATTTCCAACAGTCGCGTCGAGATAATCAACGGAAGCATTTCCTTCTCGCCCAAATAAATGTATTTCAAGTGCTTTGGCAGAGATTTTAATTCAAACATAGGTGTCTGCACCACAGACGGTAATACCCTTTGGTGAGATTTGGGCACGAAAATAAGTGCAAGCTCATACCTTGTCGTCTTGAATGGCAACGATTGCAATGCCCCACCTTCAGATCTTTACTCAATTCTACCTCATAAGTTGTGTTTAACTCAAGGTACTTGTTTAAAACAACTTCTAACTCATCCCTGCCAATAATTTCAAACACTTCCTTCATCGTTGGGTCAATAGCACTCATAGAAAAAACAGAGTTAAAATTAGAGTTCGAGAGATATTTCATGGTCTCAAAGATATTGAAATGAATAATTTTTTCATCAAATTTCATGGACAAGGTACTCTTATTAACATCAAATTTAGTTTGAATTGTGAACAAAAAGGATCTACCTAATAGCAAAGGTAAGGGGTCGGGGGAATGATAATTATTTATGTTAAATACATAAAAATCAGTTAGGAATTTTAACCAACACATCATCGACCAACCCATCAGGATAAGCATTTGTTCGATCAACTAATTGGATTATTATTCCAGTTTCTTTTAACGGACCTAAGTTCAAAGAAACATAGATAGATTTAGACATTAACGATGTTCCTAGGTCCAACATGACATTTCTAATCAAAGTATTATCTATTTTACAGGGGATAATGAACATACCTGGATCCCCGCATTTCGGTGGAAGTTTCCTCTATAGAACCGCTGACAAGTTCTCCCCCACAATAACTCTTTCGTCTCCTCTCAACCTTCTTCAGTTGATGCACAAATCTTTAAAAAACTTTGCATATTTCGGCACTTTTTTGGTTGCATCTAGTAGAGGAATGTTGATCTCTACTTTGTGGAATACGTCAAAGATCTCTTTCTCCTTGTTCTGCTTCTTTGGTTTCTCCAACCTGCTAGAAAAGGGAAGCGGATTAGCTTTAAGTTCAATGATTGGGTCAAGTTCTTTCTTGATCTTTTCTTCATCCTTGTCCTTTGGAGTCATGAGTTCGGATTCCTGAATTTCCTTTCCACTTCTTAAGGTCATTGCACTTACGTTCTTCGGATTCAATTTAGATTAAGATGGCAATTTTCCGTGAACTTGGGACTCCTGACAGTTGATTGATATTGCCATCTGACTTCTCTGACTCTACATCGCTTGCATTTGACCCATTTGATTCCTTATATTTTATAGGTCAGATTCCGTCTTTTGTTGACTAGCAATTAATTATTTCATTATTTCTTTCAAAGACGGGTCTGAACTTGGAGGAGGTGGTGGCTGTTGAGGTTGGTATTACTGTTGATACCCTTGCTGTCTATTCGGGGCAAAATTTGATTATCTATTGCCCTCATAATTGAGGTTATGGTGATCTCTCCAACCCGGATTGTACATGTTAGGGTACAAATCATGTGGTTTTCTTGGCGCGGGTGCATAACCAGCCATGTTTACTTTCTCCACACTCTTTTCTTGAATCACATCTCTGTAGAATGACCCATGGCAGTACAAATTTCATACACCTTAGTTTGTGGTGCATTTCCTATAGCCAATTGCATAACAAAAGATATTAAGTCGGATAACTGCTGTTGGATAGAGGATGTTTCTATCTCATTCACTTTGCGTATCGAGATATCCTCCCTTATACTGAAGTATTATGAGTTCTCGGCCATTCCTTCAATCAACTACCATGTTTCTCGAGGAGTCTTGTTCGCTAACGCCCCTCCATTTGCAGCATCAATAATATTCTTGTCTTTGAAAAGTAACCTCTTGTAAAAGTACTGAATGAGCAACTACACACTTATTTGATGTTGAGGGAATTTGATACATAACTTCTTGAATCTCTCTCAGTAATCATAGAGCGACTTTCCTGAATGTTGTTTGATACCGCATATTTCCTTCCTCAAACTTGCAGTTCGAGATGCGGGAAAATACTTTTCCAGGAATTTTTTCTTCAGCTGCTTCCAAGTGGTGATACTACCTGGAGGTAGTAGTACAACTAGTCTTTTGCTGAATCCTTAAGAGAGTAAGGGAACGCCCTTATTTTTATTTGTTCTTCCGTGATTTTCGGGGGTTTCATGATGTTGCAAACAACATCGAACTCTTGCAAATGCTTATGAGGCTTCTTACCTGATAAACAATGAAAAGATAACAAAGATGGATTAGACCAGATTTTAAGTCAAACTAGGTGTTATCATTTAAATTCGGAAAAGTAATGCATAAGGGCTGCTGATTTAAATTAGAAGCAGCCAACACCCTTAGTATTCGTGCATTAGCCATAGTGACTTCATCTTGATCTGAGTCACTCGAAGTATCACCAAACGAACTTGTTGCTACAACTTTTGGATCAAGACTTTGAGATGCAGCACTATATTGCTCTTCTCTGAGCTGTCTGGTCTCTTTTCACGTTCGGCGCGCAGTTTTCTCCACTGCAGGATCGAAAATTAATTCACCTGTACGAGAAGAATAATGCATAAACTAGAAAATACTAGAAAATTAAAACGAAAATGAACTTAAAAAGAAACAAATTTAACTAACACCAGTCCCGACAACGGTGCCAAAAATTGACAGGTTATCGAGCATGTGCAATAATAAATGCCTGCTCAAATAAATATAATTTCTATAGATAGTGATAAGTAGGGTTGAATTCACAGGAATTGGGGATATTTGCCTCTTTTGAAGTTCAAACAAACAATGGGGGGGTTTTTTTTATAGAAATTAACAATAAGTTATGCTAATCGAATATTGCAATTAAATAAAAATTAGATGGCAAATTGCAAAAACTCAAATAGTTTTTGACAAACTCTAATCAAGAAGCAATTTCGGAAATGGCTCTCCTAATTGATCATCGATGCAAGAATAATTTCACATATAAACTGATAAACAAGTTATAATTGTCAAACAAGTGATGACAATCAATTTCTCCTTAATTATCGATAGTTAACGTAAGACCGTTAGTTATTGTCCTTATTGCAAAATAACCCTAGGTACGACTGTAGAATTCAATTTTGCAATTGTTTTAAGATTTAGAAAACCCTGTTCTAACTAAACAACACGCTACGAGGGTTGTTTACAAATTAACCCGTATCTTTCCCTGATATAACCACGATTATATCAGTTGTCACTAATTTAGAATAATTAAACAATTACAGATTTAATTACTCTAATTGGTTTTGGGTTATTGAATTAATCTAACATCTGGACCCATGATACTTGAATAATACAATAACCATAAAAAATAAAATAGGAAATATACGAATACAAGAAAATAATGGAAAAAAGTAAAATCAGTTAGATCTCATAATTTAAGTAGAACCAAATCCTCCGTTATTTCTTGACTAGAAATAAAAGTTTAGTTCATCTCTGTCGAGGGGATCCTATGCAAAATTGCCGAAGTAAATGGTGAAGGCATTTTTCCTCCATTTAAATATAATGAAAAAACTATGGAATAGTCCCCCAAAAACAATGAATATTCAACCCCCCCAGAAGAACTAGCCGACAAAGTACGAAAACAAAAGAAAGAAAAATCAAAACTGTCTGACCATCTCTTCCTGCCTAATTTTCCTTCCTATCGGGCTACTAAGAGGAATAAAAGGGAAGACTCCTAGTCTCTGTTAACCTCCCTTCTCTTTTGAAAACTACCAAAAGAAGAGAAAGGAGAGTCCCCCAAAATTGCTCCTCGTCTGCCGCAGTTGATCACTGGATAAGGAATACCATCTCCGTTTGGACTCTTGTTTCCTTTTACTACTCCAACTCTTCTGCTAGCTATCGTCAAAATTAATTTGACTAACCCGAAGGTGTACAACTTGACAAATTTGCACCTTTTTATGATATTTTGTTCCAACTCCCTGCAATAAGCACAAATGCCAAAAATGAATAAAATCTGCTAATTAATGCACATTCGATAAGGTAATAGGAGGAATTAATTATAAAATAAATAATAAAATTGTGACATATCATACCCTTATTTAGAAACTAAAGTGGTTGAAATGACTAAAATATATATACAAAATATGCGTGACACTTTAATCCCGTACGATTTATGTTTTACCATACATCTCTCTTATAGTTTAGTGTGGTATAGTTGAATTGTCTATGTTCATATTTTTTCTTATTGACCTTAAATAATATGCAAACCAGGAACAGAAAAAGGAGCGAGAGAGAGGGAAAGACAAAAGCTTGAATGTGATTACTTAAGGAGTCACGTCAAATTCCTTAAGACTCTGCGTAAGCACTTAGCTAAAAACTTGGGAACCTAATAATTAGGGACCAGCCGCAGCAGCTACTAAGTAGACAATCAAGAAAAAGAGACCATAAACTTTTCCGTGGACGCAAGTTTTTGTTCCTTAATTTCTTAGTTAGTGTTTTAATATTTAGCAGTTTAATTTCCACCAGGCCGCTGATTTGGTTTGAAATAACTGGTAATGGGAATAATTTTACTTAAAATTACCAGAATCTTCTGATTCATTAATGGAGAAGATAATGGCGGAATTGTGACTACAAAAATTGTCGCGTAATTTTGTGTGATTAGGAACAGGAAAGCAAGACAAGCATCCTAGAACAAGTTCTAGACAACGAATATTCTAGCACAAATAAATAATATTTATTTGTTGAGTTCTACAATCCTCTACCACCTTTGATTTGATTGGGGACGGCAGTCAAATGGCATTGTATTTATCTCGAAATATTTATTCAAATTTAGAGAAATTTAAAAATAACAAGCCAAAAAGGTTTTAATATTTGGTCGTAGAGACAATGTCGCAACTTTTTTTTTCTTTGGTCATACATCGACTATGGGGGAAAAGGGGTACAGGAGCAATCGAATTCTAGAAATCGAGGAAAGCTGAATAACCATTAAATCACACGAATGCGATAAGTACTTACTGGATTTAAAAGTAGCAATTGGTGGGAGGCCACAAAATTGTGAGTAAACAGCAATTATGCACATATTATGCATCTCGTGAACTTTCTATCAATTTCTAGTGAGTACCTGAGAAAGGAAAGTTAATTTTGTATTCAAACTATTATAAAGTAAATTAAGTTACATGCTAAAAATTTGAGCATATATCAAACCAAAAACGTGCTAATATAGGTTGTAAATTCCTAAAGTGGCTTTCAAGAATAAAAAAGAAAAAATTAAAGAGTCAAAAAAGATCTAATTAATAACACATGAAAAAGAGACCCTTCATTTTCTCAAGATTTAAAAATTCTGGTTCTAACCTTCCTTCCCTTACCTTTGAATCCTATCCCTACTGCTTGAAAAAAAAAAACCTGCATTTTGACTTGTGGCCTAAATTGCTGAATGGCAGAGGACCCAAGTGTCCTGGTACAATCTACCACTTACCAACCATTATTCCTTCATGCTGCCATCACCAGCCTCTCATTCACTATAAAATGCAAGACCCCGGTTCTTATACCTGCTAGTTGCTAACAAACTGGTACTATTGCCCATAACCTCTAGCGAAAAAATCCTTTCTTTTTTTTTTTTTTGCTTTGCTCGAATATCATCTGAAAATATGGCCGGTGACAAGGTGGTTGTGTTGGGTACATATGGGAGCATGTTTAGCATGAGAGTCCAAGTTGCTCTGGCCGAAAAAGGCATCGAGTATGAAAACAAAGAAGAAGACTTGGCTAACAAGAGCCCACTTCTTCTTGAGGTGAACCCTGTTCACAAGAAAATCCCAGTTCTGATTCATAATGGAAAGCCTGTTTGCGAGTCCCTTATCATTGTTCAGTACATAGATGAAGTGTGGCATGACAAGAATCCCTTGCTGCCATCTGATCCTTACCAGAGAGCTCAAGCTAGGTTCTGGGCTGACTTCGTTGACAAAAAGGTGACATTTTTTTCTTATGGAAACTCTAATTTTGTCAACTGCTGTTCAATCAGTTATTCGGGCAAGCATTTCTACTGTCTTTACCAAGATCGTCTAGTCGTGGAACTAAGCATTTCTTAACCTATTTTCACTAGATTATTTTAGGCAAACAACATAAGCAAGCAGGACAAGTTAGATATGGGATAAAAATATTATGTTAAGGAGGGATTTTTCTGTTCAATTTTTTTCTGAGAAAATTAAGGTGAAATGCAGGTTTATGATTGTGGAAGGAGGATCTGGGCCACAAAGGGAGAAGAAAAGGAGGCAGCCAAGAAGGAATTCATAGGGATTATGAAAAAATTGGAAGGAGAACTTGGAAATAAGCCATACTTTGGAGGGGAAGACTTTGGATATGTGGATGTGGCTTTGATTCCTTTCTACTGTTGGTTCCATGCCTATGAGAACTTTGGGAATTTCAAGACAGAAACGGAGTGTCCAAAGCTGGTGGAATGGGCCAAAAGATGCATGCAGAGGGAGAGCGTTTCCAAGTCCCTTGCTGATCCTCACAAGGTTTACGAATTTATTGTGTCCTTGAAGAAGAAGCTTGGGAACGAATAAAGTCTCTTTCAACTTTTTCGCTAAATGGAGGATCGAATAAAGTCTACGCATGAATATGTATTTGGGATTGCTTTGCTTTTTTTCGGCTTCGTAGATCTGTCTTAGAATCCTTTAGTTTTGTTTGCTTGGCTTGGGAGAATAAAAGAGATTTAGCGTCGTCTTCCTGATATCCTGGTAGTAAATGATGTTTACTATTACTACTAGGATTTCATGGATAGGCTGTTTATATGTATAATTTCTTCCACAAATTTATAGGACAATTGTCTGTGTCTTTAGTTATGCAGAGAGTGTTCGTACAATGTCCAAATTATGCTAATGTGATACTACTTTCTATTCCAGGATTGTCCCATATATTTCATATCATCTCCTTAGATAATTTTTTTTTTCAACTCTCTCCCTTCCTTTTATTCCTTAGTTATTGACTTGTGAAATATGTGCACTTCATTTACAAAAAAAATGTTCTGTAAATCTCTAGACCA